TAGACTAAGACTCAAATATCTGCAGAGGGTCCTATAGATGGTGTTTTAATATGGACAATATTAACTATAGAAGCTGCAGCAGTTTTATAGCATCCTGGAGCTAGTGAGTTATTCATAAAAAAAAAGAAACATGGGCAGCGTGACAGGTTTTGTTTTGTTTTTCAGTTGAACTGCTTTTTGGGATAGTAACAAAAATATTGTTCAACACTGAATGTTTTTGGATTGAGGTTACCAGGTCACCAGTAAATTTTAAAAAACTATTTCATACATTTTTAAATGGCACTTCAAAATTACAGCTTAGGGTTATACTTCTACACAGTGCCATTGGGATCCTTTGATATTTATGATCTACAACTGACTTACATTTTAAGTTCTATTTTCAAAAATCTTCCCCGTGATTTAAAGTAACACAAGAGATCAAACAGAAGTGGACGAGGCAAATATAATGCTTTCGTTGAAATGAAGCGGGTTCCCCCTAAGCTGTAAAGTATGTAATTAATGGTAGAAACTTCACTGGCAAGATACAGTGGTACCTCAGGTTAAGTACTTAATTCGTTCTGGAGGTCTGTTCTTAACCTGAAACTGTTCTTAACCTGAAGCACCACTTTAGCTAATGGGGCCTCCCGCTGCTACCACGCAATTTCTGTTCTCATCCTGAAGCAAAGTTCTTAACCTGAGGTAATATTTCTGGGTTAGCGGAGTCTGTAACCTGAAGCGTATGTAACCTGAGGTACCACTGTATTCCCTCCCAACAACAGGATTAGTGCATTTGTATAATAAATAGAATATTGGGGTGAACATAATTTTACTGTCACCAATTCTGATACATTTTGAAGACTGGCAGATGCTGGTAGAGTTTATTAAATATATTATAATTGTGACAGTATTGTACGTATTGATGTGTTTAATCTCTGAAAAGAATCAGAGTATTTTTTCATTCCCCAAGGGTGTCTAAATTGCTCTTGTCAATCTCACTTTTCTGAGCAAACCACATGTAAAATCTTGCATTTTTAAGTCCCTTTTAAAACAAGTGTTATCCTACTGAGAACTGAGCCAAAGAAATGAATCCTGACAAACTATTTTTGTTAGATCTCTTAGCACATTCATCAGAAAGGGAAGTGAAGAAAGAAATATAATCCCTACAGTTTTTATTTCCTTATTATTGAAAGGAGAGAGAGAGAAATGGGATTTCCTCATAAAGTTTGAGATTCAGAAATGTAGCTAAAATTTATGCAGGTTGTCCCCGCTCCCCACAAGTACAACTCCCAATTTTCCCTCCTTGTGCTGCTTCCAATGTTGTCAATTCATCTCCAGAGATAAACTACCTCCATGTTCTTAGTCTGAAACCTCTCAAGGCAATTACTTTGCAGCATATTTTCCACTGGTAGCCATTGACAGTGCTGTTGCTGGAGAGATTAAGAACCTTGTTAGATCAGAGCAAAGGCGTCTCTAGCCCACCATCCTATTTCCTGCAGTGATCAACCAAATACCTTTGAGGAGCCAGCAAAGAGGACAGGGACTGATGGATCACCTTTTTCTGTTTGATGCCAGACAGTTCCATCCCTTTTTGTTGCTGTGGTTTTTTAAAAAGCTATACAAAAAGTCATGAACTTATGAAGGTCTTTGAGGATCCCATGGAGGAGGCAACAGTTATGTGCTCTCACTTGTGTTAGGTCATATTCACTTCAGGACTTGTGCCTCTTATCCAGCCGGTTCTTCAGCAAACCATGAGTCATCTCACAGATGAGCAGGCAAGCAAGCCATGGTTTGTTTCTCCCAAAGCTTATTTTGTTTTCTAGCTACTCTTGACTTGTGTTTTTGTAGCCTGACAAACAGTTGTGGCCAGGTGGTAAAACAAACCATTGTTAAGCAAGGCTGTTGGGTTTGGACATAATGCCAAACCATAGTTTTTAAAAGAAGCTATGGTTCATAAGATTAACCTGCTGGACTGAGTTTGCATATTAGTGCTTTCCTCACTAAATGTACTGGAAAATAGATTCACAATGAGACAGATTACATTTATATGGTCAATATGGATTCACTATTCTATATTTCCAAGCTATAATGCAGTCCATGCCTTGAAAGAGCAGTTGCCTTACTGACAAAGAAACTGAATAAGAAATAGAAAATGAATTTTTTAATTTTTTTTGCAGTGGAGTATTTTCTGATAGTTCAGTACAATTTTTCAGCTGATTTCATGTTCATAATGTGGATGGGGTAATATATATATATTTATTTATGCCTTTGCAGCGGACAAAAGTAAGAGGCTGCAAGTAAGGGGGATGAGCAATTGATTATCAGTATCAGAACTGGAAAGAAACTCATCCATCTTCTAGTTCTTTTGAACAATATAACTTTTCCCATAAGACAGAGATTGCTCCAGTCTTTTCATTTCAGCCTTTGAAGTTTGCCTCTTGTTGTGTGGTGAAGGATGTTCTCTTTGAGGATTTCTTCAGCACTGAACTAGTCTTCCTCCCCAAATGATAAAGGCATTCTTCTTCCAAAGTGCTGTTGTCAGTTTATAGCAATAAAGTACTGGTCCAAACCAGAAGCAATTATTAGGGATACTTTATCCTCCTGGAAGATGTGAATGTTTGTGGAAGATTATGTTCTCTGGCTCCTTTCCATTGGCTTGGCAGGAATAGAGGAATCTTTAGAGTTTATGTTTCAAGATGTTTTGTGTTGTCCAGTCATTTTGGTCTGCATCTTCTTCAGAGAGCCCAGATGACCTTGCTCTTCTCATTCTGATGTAATTGGTAGATACTCTTAGGCTATGATCCTAAATAATTACTTTTACGTAGCTGGGTAATAATGAGGCACAGTCTTTGCCATTAGTTTCTACACATAGGCTATATTGACTCCCCAGTGAGATTTTTTGGTCTTAGAACACTCTGCATGGAAGTGGCTGGAAGATATGAAACTTAATTTAGTGTGTTTCTTTATTCAAGTTTTTTTTTATGAGTCCTTTTAAAATACACTCTTCTTTCAGTTTTTCATCTTGTTTTAACTTGGTTTCAATTACCTCTGAAACAGATTGTATTCAACCTATGTGAATCTTTCTTGAGCGACTTATGCACCATTTTGCTTTAAAATATTTTAAAAAATATAGATTGCGACATTTGCAAATATACTTGTCTCCGTGAAAGCGAGTCTCACCCCCCTGTTCTTTTGTACTGGTCATGAGTTCTATAAATATCAGAACGATAGCGATAGCTTTCAGGAAATAGGTGCCTTCTCTTTGATACTTGGATATTGAGTGAGAGTGATATCCTGATACACTTATGGGTTCTATGTAATACTGTGTCAGCTCTTGTGAAGATAGAAGATGGCTGTAATTCATATAATGATGATTGATGTGCAGATGAATTCTTGTCTAAAAAAAAGTCATCTCATTCTAAGCCTCTACGTCAAGGGTGTTTCTCTACTCTCTTCCCTCGCCTCTCCTTGTATCTGCAAGGCTTCCTGCTCTCCCTCTCCTCTCCTTGTCTGCCTCCTAGCCCCTCAATCTTCAGAAGGGGAAACCCAGAATCGATTGAGGGAGCATGGGGGGAGGAGAGAGAGAGAAAGATCCATTGAGCAAGCAAAAGTCCTTGTGTGAATAGGACAACCTTGCTGGATACAACCCTAAAGGCTGATCCACACGTCCTCTTTCCCCGTGCCTAGAAAGCGCAGGTCCAAGTGGTTTTCCTCTTGTCCCGTGCTTTCTAAGCACAGGTCTGAGCAGTTTTCAGTCCCCCCCCCCCTGCTTTCCCCTGGAAAAGCTGCTCTTTAGCGCTGATTCAGAGCAAACGCCAATCTATGGAAAACCCAATTGACATTTGCTCCAATTCAGCGGTAAATAGTGGTGTTTTTTTTCCTGGGGAAAGTGGGAGGACAAGCAGAAGTCTGGCTGATCCCTCAGTCTTTGCTGCCTTGACAGCAATCAACTACTTTAGAAAACAAGGAAGATTGCTGACTTCCCACTCTGCTCGGAAGTACCAGTTGGAAACTGCACTAGACCAATCCTTCATCTGATTCATTGGACCTCGAATGAACTTTATATCCTGCGACTATTTGGAAACAGTAGGTCTTTGCTTGGTACAACTGTGATGTGCTCAAATTTAATTTGTTCTCCTCAGTGTTCTTATTGACGAGTTGCTTTTATAGTAGGGATGGGAAAACAGTAGCCCTTCATGTCTTGTTGAACTCCAATTCCCATCAGGACCAGGCATCAGGACCAATAGCCAGGGATGATAAGAACTGTAATCCAACAACATCTGGAAGGCAGAAGGTCCCCAGTCCTGTTTCAAAGCATTAACCTTAGCGTGACACAATAGCAGTAGGTGGAGATGGTTGTAGAGATTCTCTGATACAAGATCCAAGTGTTCCTACTTTCTGGGGGTAATGCTGGTTTTACACATTTTCATACCAGAAAGAAAATGTCAGAATGGCACACCTTACTATCACCCACTGCTTTTAAAAGTGGAAGAGGTCTTTAAACACACACACACACACACACACACACACACACACACACCAAGGACAATTATGCCTTTCTGGAATTTGCTTGCAACTTATTAATTTAGCTCCATGATAAAGGGACCTGTTAACGTCCTATTTGAGGTTTACGCTTTTCAAGAAATTCAAAATTTCTTTAATTTGGGGAATGTTCTACTGCAGCCTTCCCCAGCTTCCAGATGTTTTGGGCTATATTTCCCACTGTCCCATACTACTTTCCAGATTAATATTTGGATAAAACTGTTCTATTGGACAGAGTGTATTAGTACACTGTTGTAGATTTGCACATTTTCAGGTTGCATAGGATTCTGTAGGCAAAAAAGAAGAGTATATTTGCAATTTGGAAACTTGCTGCTTTACCTTGCCAGCCAACGGACGTTATCATCTAGAGCTTGTTAGATCACTGACAATCCTATTTGTGATTGAAACTTTCAAAATCCTATCTGATGCAGAAATTATCACAGGTTGTTGCTGCTATTGTTCATCCTTTTGTTTTTTCCCAGGTTGGCCTTCATTCTATGATGTGATGGCTTCTGACAGAATTACATTCACTGATGACTACTCCTACGGGATGCACAGGGTTGAGACAAGCTGCAGTCAGGTCAGTTCAGACACAAAGAGGTCATTCTCATATTAAAAGGTTGCCGAAACCGTAGTGTGTGTAGTTTCTTTACATCTGAAGTTCTGCAAAATTCTTACTTGCCAAAAAGACTCATTAGGGTTGCATGACGAGCCACAGGCATGACAGCTGGTGGATAAAAACGAAAGTCAAAGTGCTAATGAGAATCTGTATTGTTATCTAGGTTAAGCATTATTTAACAGAGCATGTATAAATGACATCAGAGGGCTGTAGCCTACAGAAATGGTCTTCCAGGAAGGCATCTCTTCAAAGTTCACCTCTGAACTCTGTTCTCTTAAGCCTAAATGCAGATAGTCTAGACGAACATTGAATGCAGATTCCATCACATATATCTGCAGATTCCATCACAGAGCATTTGCTGAGGATCACTAGTGACAATGCTCAGGGTATCTTTCCGGCCACCTCTACGTCCCATCTGCCCAAATAAGCAAGTGAATAATAATACCAGACACTTGTCAGTTTCCCATTATCTTTCTCATTCCGACTCCTTTCATTCTTTGTCATCACCAGCCTTCTGTGGCCTTAATGGCTCAGTCCTAACTAACTTATCAGGGGAGAAGGGTTGTTGACCTGGCAGTTAGTGGAGGAAACGCTTGGATAACCTGCAGCTAGTTTCTTCCACCAAGAATGCACCAGTTTTAATCAGAACTTAAAGTCTGATCTCCTGCTTTGTTTGCTTTAGACCAACTGGGAATCTGGAAGAAAATTGGGATAAATGAGCTCTCTGAATAAGCAAGGGGCCAACATATTGTGTGGCCACTTTCAATTACTCTTTCCAGGAGGGTTTTTTGGGGGAAGAACTTTCAATCTGCTGCAAAACAGTGTTCAATAGGTTAGTGCCCAGCTATATCTAGATTGAAATGTTATCTGAGATCAAAGCCATAGTTGTATTTGTATTCAGTGGTATACTGCATTTAAACAGGTAAACTTTTAATCATACAGTGGTACCTCAGGTTAAGTACTTAATTCGTTCTGGAGGTCTGTTCTTAACCTGAAACTGTTCTTAACCTGAAGCACCACTTTAGCTAATGGGCCTCCTGCTACCACTGCGCCACCGCCACACGATTTCTGTTCTCATCCTGAAGCAAAGTTCTTAACCTGAGGTACTATTTCTGAGTTAGCGGAGTCTGTAACCTGAAGTGTATGTAACCTGAAGCGTATGTAACCCGAGGTACCACTGTATTTGTATTAATGTCACTTTATAATTAGATGTTTGCCTGTTTCTGGGATTTGTATTTTGCCTTTCACTGCAAACAAGTCCCGAGGCAGCTCACAATAATATCAAGTAGTAAATTATACCAAAACTTTTCTTACTTTTAACAACAAAAAGCCCTTTAGTGATAGCATATATTTATTGAAGATCTCTGGAATTTCTGGTGCTGTTCTGCATTTGCTATTTTTATTTTATTCTCTGTTTCTGGTTTTATGCTGCGTTACGTTTTATGGTTCTGTTATATTATTTGCATATATGGCTTGCAGCTTTTATTGTAAGCCACCCAGAGAACTTTTTTTTAATGGAGATGGGGGGCTTGAAATACAACAAATCAGTAAATAAATAAAATACAGTATTAAAACAACAACCGGTGAATCAAAGCAGCATACCAGTATACCAGTATATGTGGCTTGTGTCCTCCCCATAGTCATTACCACACCATATAATGCATCCATTATTCAGTCATTTATTCCCATCTCCATGAGTCTAACAATATGAATCATACATCCAGCTGCAAAATGCTATTGTTTTATTACAAATCTGAATTGCATTGGGAGATTACTTGGTTAAAGTGGAGAGCAAAATCCTTTTATTTTATTTTTTCTCCTTTTAGGGGTGGGGTGGGGGGCAGAATCCAGCAGATGAAAAAATTAAGTACACTTCCCATAAACATTCTAACACCTGTTTTGCTCCTGTGCGAACATCTTCCCTTGGAATGTCATTGATTTAGGATACAAATAAGTGCTTTGGAAGAAAATTGCCTTCCTATAAAACAAAAGCATCCTAAATATTGTCTGTGAAACAGCTTTCACGGTTTTGTTAGAAATACATCACTGTGGAAATATGAGAAAAGTCAAATATTTGTGACAAGAAAATGTTAATTGCAGGTGCACTTAGGGAGTAATGTGAAATTGGTTGCACATTCTTCCTTCCTTTCCTATTCAAGGACTATTTCCCTTGGAGACCTCTGCAGCTATTACATTGTACCTGTAGAAGCCAATAACACTGTTTAATCACAAAAAAATGGGTTGCACATTGATGTGCTGTGACTAAATCACTGGCAACCGTCTGCACAGATCTTACTTTATCTCATAGTAATGGGATTATTGTGTGTATAGTCAGGAACTCTGAGAGGTGAAATATGTTCTCAGTTGGCAGACAGCTAATTTCCCTATCCAAACTGGCATGTACAGTAGACAACGTGGTTTGAGAAATGAATTCAGAATATGGCACAGTAGTCATATGCTTGTCTTACCAAACCAGTGCTCAGCTCATGTCTGGCAGCTTAGCAGTGGCAGCGTAAGTGTGGGACAACTTGCACACTACACACTCATTGAGGTATTCACACAAATAGGTAAAGGTAAAGGGACCTCTGACCATTAGGTCCAGTCGTGACTGACTCGGGGGTTGCGGCGCTCATCTTGCTTTATTGGTCAAGGGAGCCGGCATACAGCTTCCAGGTCATGTATGTGGCCAGCATGACTAAGCTGCTTCTGGCGAACCAGAGCAGCGCACGGAAACGCCGTTTACCTTCCCACCGGAGTGGTACCTATTTATCTACTTGCACTTTGACGTGCTTTCAAACTGCTAGGTGGGCAGGAGCAGGGACCGAGCAATGGGAGCTCACCCCGTTGCGGGGATTCGAACCGCCGACCTTCTGATCGGCAAATCCTAAGCTCTGTGGTTTAACCCACAGTGCCACCCGCGTCCCTTTCACACAAATACATGCACCAAATTCTCTGTAGTTCCAGATCCACTCAGCCCATGTCTACATCATGCCACTAGGGTTGTATGAATTGAGCAGTGGCACAATTATCGCTCCTGTCAGTCAGTCCAGTTTGCAATCTCTCTATTTTCCTGCTTATGGTAAAGACTGAAATTTTTGCAAACTCTCAGTTGGTAGTCAACTATAATAATAATAATAATAATAAATTTTATTTATATCCCGCCCTCCCCAGCCGAAGCCGGGCTCAGGGCGGCTAACAACAATAAAACAGTACAAAAGTACAGCATAAACAACATTCTAAAATCATTCATTATAAAAATTAATTAATTCAAGCCACTGGCAACCATTGGGCCAGAGCTCCGCAAAGATTTCCGAGGGAGGGAGTCAGGCTGTGCCCTGGCCAAAGGCCTGGTGGAACAACTCTGTCTTGCAGGCCCTGCGGAAAGATGTCAAGTCCCGCAGGGCCCTGGTCTCTTGTGACAGAGTGTTCCACCAGATCGGAGCCACAGCCGAAAAAGCCCTGGCTCTAGTTGAGGCCAGCCTAACTTCTCTGTGGCCTGGGACCTTCAAGATGTTTTTATTTGAAGACCGTAAATTTCTCTGTGGGGCATACCAGGAGAGGCGGTCCCGTAGGTACGAGGGTCCTAGGCCATATAGGGCTTTAAAGGTTAAAACCAGCACCTTAAACCTGATCCTGTACTCCACCGGGAGCCAGTGCAGCTGGTATAGCACCGGGTGAATGTGATCTCGCAGCGAAGACCTCGTAAGGTTTAAACTAAGGTAAGTGTTTAAACTAAGGTTTAAACACTCAAGGTAGACCTATTGAAATGACAGAAGATGGCTAACTCAACTCCATTAATAGCAGTGGGTCTGCTCTGAGTAAAACTTAGTTGAATAGCACCCTGCAGCCCATTTTACATAAATTAACCACCACCATGGTGCAGACCTAAAGTTGCAGCTGTTTGGGGAGCTGTAATATATGAACCCACTGCCCCACCCACACAGCTTCTCTTGAACATAGTGGTGCATTGGTGTATGTATATGTGTGTGTGTAGTGTAGTATAGTATCCTGTGTTCCATGATCACCCCTGGGAAGCTGCATGGTCTGGTCCTCCCTCCCTCCATGCAGCTGTGACTACAAGACCTCTCTTTGCATACGAGATTTTAGCAAGCATGAACTGAGCCTTCAGTGGAATTCCAGTGTGAAAATTCTTTTATGTGTGGGCACAAACACAATTGATATAAGATTGACCAATACTATGAGGCATCGCATTTCCGGGTTGATCAAGCTGATCAAGTTGAAGCGGGTTGATGCAAAGAGTTATTTGGAAAAACTTTTTTTTTTTTTTTAAGAGGGAAAGCTAAATTGGTTAGGCATCCAATTGCTGCTTAACTTCTTTCACATTGGAGTGTCAGAAGAAAATTACAGTCATTAACTTTCTGCAAGGAAATGTAGGGGTAGTAGACTGAAACCACACTTCATACATGTGTATTTGTCTGCCATTCCAGAAATTCCCTTCTGTTGTGATTCTTGCTTTGTTTCTTTATTCCTGATTGATCACTTGTTTGCCCTGGAATCATCCTGTGGTATCTTCAGTATTTTAAGTTTGCTTCACAGTGTCATGTTACTGGAGTTCAAAGGCCCTGGAGGGAAAATGCCTCGGATAACAACACCTGGGAACTCTCTTCTAAGAATTTGCTTATAGATGTACAAGGTGTTTCCCCCCAACATGAGTCACAAAAGCATTAACAAGTATTTGTAACCTGAAAGTTACATGTTTGATTAGCCAAATTCTTTTTGCCTAGCATGTGTGCATAATTCTTTGGATTCTTCTTCCATGACCTGAGCTGACTTCAAAAGCTGTTAAAAAGTTTTTGCTACAAGGAAAAGATAAAGCCCGTGCAAACTTGCTCCTTTCTGGCCTTGTGGGCTCACTCTTGCACCCGCCTTTTATTTCAGTTGCCAGTCTTTTTTTAAAAAAAATGTTTAAATAATTTTATTATGAAGAATTCAAATCATTAAACACATTTGCATGCATGTATGCATGCATGCACACACCCTTCAATATTATGTGAATTCATTTAAAATTAAACACATAATTCAGTATGTTCAGTCTTAAACACCAATCGTCAAAATCTTTCCACCTTTGATTTTTTTAAAGATTATGACCAATACTGATGCATTTACTTGAACAATGCAAAACGGGCAGACCACCTCAGTTTTATCTGGACTGAGCTTCAGTTTGTTGGCTCTCATCCAATCAAGGCAAGACACTGGTCCAGCACATCCACTGCCTCACCTGCAGATGTAAAGGAGAAGCAGAGCTGTGTGTCATCAGCATATTGTGGACAATGTACTCCAAAACTCTGAATGACCCCACTCAGCAGTTTCATGTAGATGTTAACTTGGTTGGCCTAATAAAGGTATTGCTATAATAAATATTTTGGATTCCCCCCCCCCCAAGAGTGTTTAGTCAGAATATGTTGTTCAGGCCTCAACCTGCCTTTTGGCATGTTCAGGTTTTGATACCAAAACTTAGCATTGGTACTTCACATGCCTTGGTGACTCTAAGCCTGCATGATAAGCACATTCTCTTTTCAGATGTTGGCATCAAACTCTACATGTCTGAAGTCCATTTGTAGAAACCAGACTTCTCTTGGATGACAGCTTATATTTTCACATTACTAGCAACTGGAAAAAAGGCAATGGTTGACCCTCAAATGCTTTACCTCCTGATGAAATTTAAACTTCAAAATGAAGCTGTATCTGTAACTCTCAAAGAGAAGCCCGTTTACTATTACAGGTTGTTGTTTTTAAAAGTGTTTTCATTATACTTATTGATACTTACTAATGAATACAAATTATGCTCTTCTATTTCAGTGTGGTGCTCACCTTGGACATATTTTTGACGATGGGCCTCGTCCATCCGGCAAACGATACTGCATAAATTCAGCTTCATTGTCTTTTGAGTCTGCAGACAAGAACCATGCTGGAGAAGGAAGCATCAGCGCGACTTCTGCCCAACCAGACAAGACAGAGCTGTAGAAGAAAGATAGTTTCTCACAAAGCTTATTTTCCCAGATGACTCTTAAAGAATGTTATTCTAAATTGCCTTCTACCTTATATGTTTTTAAAAAACACAAAACCTTTTAGGGATATTCTGCACTATCAGTTTTTTTGTGTATCAAAATGAGGCCTTGTGTGTGCCAATGTATTTTTGTTATATAATCACACTTAAATAATTGTCAACTTACATGCAGTGGGGAACCTCATAACAAAAGGGTATTTAGCACTATGGGTTATTAATCTCCACTTAGTGCTTTGTTAAAATAGGTTTGAATAATATCCCTCCTCCTTTCTGAGGGAGCAGGCTGTAGTTCATTCATTGCAGAACTGTAGTGTATATACAGAAGTCTCTTAATATCTCATCACTTCAGCGATTTTGTTCTGATTTACATGACATGTGTACTCGACCATCTTTCCATTTGACACATCACCCAACCTCCATTATGGAAGTGTGTGTTGGTTAAAGAGCAGTGGGTCATATCCAGCCCATCCTTTTGCTGTGATAGGGCCAGCTGGAGTGGATAGCAGGCCTTTGCCCCTGAGTCTGTTCCTTCAAGTTGCGATGAGTATTTAAACGAGTGTGGATGGAAACCTGTTTGTTTCAACCAGTAGCAACCATCACTTTTACAGGCCTGGTCTATCAGCCAGAAGTGGGTGAAAGCGAATAGTAGGTCACTTGTTTTACTATGCCCCTAATGAGGGTCCTGCAAAAACAAAACATCAACGAGCCAAAGAGGATTCACAGTGTAGCATGAACTAGTTGTTTTGTGGGTCGCGCTTTGGAGCATGCAGTAATGTTGCTAATTACTGCTCCACTTTCAGGTTTTGTCCTGGGAAAGTGAATACCTCATTGAAGAGGTACAAACTTCCCTACAATTCCCCCTTACAATGTTTGGACAGGCATTAGAAGGGATGCAGTTCCCTTTCTTTCAAGCAGTTTCAATGTGCAATTATAAGCACCAAGTGGCTGTGCCTTCTCATGTGCAAATTTACAGCAGTGTGCTGCTTGAAGAACAACCTTACTATTTTCCAGCTTGTATGTGTGCTCAGTCTTATTTTCTGAGCACATGTGTGCACAGGAAATGCACAAAGCCGACAACCAAAACATTAAGAAATGCAGCAAGAAGTAGACATGTCCACGAAGACTGAAGAGTTTTAAGTGGAAACTTGTCCCAAGCCCTTTAGTGAGATCAGATTAGACATTTTTAAGCCTTCTAAGGATATGACCATCTACTTTGTGCTGAAACTTCCTTTTTTACACTGCAAGAAAACTGTCTATACGTAGTGTGTGCGCATATATATATATGGTTGAAGCAGAGAATAGCTGCATTTTCTAAACTCAATACAAGTACTGTACTGTTTAAGAAAATTTTGTTGTAGAATATTCAATTTCAATATCAATAGCAAACATACTACCTGACATATCTAACACCGAAGCCCTGTACAATAGGTTGAAATTACTACCTTCATAGCCTTATAGCTCAAAAGCGAGAGAGAAAATGTGTTTGCTAATATAATTGAAGAATAGACAGATGTAGAACTTCAGAATGCAACCCTATGCATAAGAGAACAATTACTCCTGTTAGCATCACTGTTCATGTATGCAATTATGTACTTTCAAGTTTGTGCAGTCCTTCCTTTACAATGGCAGAGAATTTTCTATGCTTCATGTCATTCTTTTGCTTATTTCCCTCTCCCAAAGGGCTGTTCCTGTTCCTTGCCTTTGTTGGAAGAGAAGTGAGTTTTCTCCTATCACATTTTCTGCCATAAATCTCTAATATGCAACATTTGTAAAAACGTGGAGCCTACATGCATTTTGCTTTTCAGATCTCTGCTGTGGTTAAGGGTTATCGAGTTTCAGCATATTTCTGTCTTGCATTAAAGAAATATATTACTAAAACTTCAATGAGCAATAATGCCAGCTGTCCATCGGTAGATTTATATTTGCAGGATATGGAATGCAATGAACTGAATCAATATGGCTAGGTGTATGTGATCTATAAGAGTGGAACACTGTTAGCAGAAGAAAGCCATTGTTCTTTCTCTGTACGGAACACTGGGCAACATTTTTCACTATTAATGCTAGTAGGGGATATAAGTATGACTGGTATTGCAAAACTCAAATGCAGGTCATCTTGTTTATGTCCTTGGCAGAGGATCTCAGAAGGTGAGCACAATAAATAAGCAGGGAGCCCATTGCTTGGACTTCATTCTTTGTATTGTATGGGTGCGTGCAACTACTGAATACAAATTATATAAGAACAGAGAACTGTATTTTATAGTATCCAATCTATATTATATAGAGATTTGCAGGGCTTAATATATAAATATCAAAAGATACTTGGGGAAAAAGTGAAAAATAAAAGTATTTTATTCATTTTGGAAAAAAATCGAACTTTTCCTCAGAATTATGGTTTGCTTTTGAGACAATAGTGTTGGATTTTTCAACGAAGGGTATCTTTTAATATATTTCTTGTACGCTGGGTATATAATAAAGTTAATTTATAAATAAATGCCTCTGTTTTTAATGGTTATGATATTGTGCCTGCAGCTGCGTTGTCCCCCAGCCCCTTTCCTCACCTGTCAGCAGCAGTGACACATCAACATTTGAGCTCCAGCATCCTTTCCAAGATGAATAGGTGGAGCAAAGGGATAAAGCACACCCAAATTCCCTGCATGTGGTTATAACCCTGGGAAAATATTTTCAAGGATTCAGATATAACTTAGGGGAGGGAGCACTGACAGAAGTACTCAGCCTCCACCTTAGCAAAAAGACAGAAAGAAAAAGATCTTAGCTTTTTGTGTACGCTATTGTGATCTTTGGGTCTGTTCCATAAAGATAGCACATTGCTTACTAAAAGGAAGTCTTGCCAAAGAAGTTCTAAACTACAGCTGGATAATTTGGCTAGAGATGTTTTCTTGCGGATTGGTGTCTAGGGAAACAGATTTGGAATGCCCTATTGTTTGCAGATAAGCTCAGTTTGAGAAATCAGCAACACAAAAATTGGGTGAAAAGGGAGCTTTTGTGGTGGTCTCAACTCAGCTGTCATGTTGACATTCCCTGAGAACTGCTGGTGCATCCATTAAGTTGTTAATTGTCAAATATTAGGAGGACTATCTAGGGGCATCGAGGGGCAGTGGGTGCAACCGATGATGGGAATGCCAGGAGGCAGTCTCGCTTTTGTATTGTGGTACAACTTCTTAGTAACAGTTCTTGCACAGGAGATACTGGAGCATGCTTGCCTCTATCGACAAAGAATCTTTATACAACCCTTTGTGCTGCGTACATGCTATTTAAAAAGGACATAGTTGCATTTTCATATTATGAGAAACTCTGCAGCCATGCACAGCAGATAGAGTTGTATCCAACTATGTTATACCCAGAGTATACCCACTGAAATTCATAGATCTAGGTTAGTAATGGCCATTATTTTCAAAGGATCTGCTCCTAGTGGAACTACCATTGGATACAACCCAAAGAGGGGTATTCAACTATTGTGTCCCGTGTCAGCACACTGATTTCCACTTGCAAAATGGGATCCCCCTCTTCTCCCCAAACATGCCCTGCAACCTACCCAAATCTGCTCCATGGGGTTGGTGGAACCCCTAGAACAAATGATAAGGGAATGGGGGGGGGGACTTCCATTATACAAGGAGAAATCCTTGTACCAGCAGAATGAGAGACAGCACTATCGTGGATGATTCTTGCATGGATGATGCACTTGCTATATTTGTGGGAAGCAACCATGTAAATTTCTGAATGCACAATCCAATAATTCTGCCCGGGGATTTTAACGGAGATGCGTTTGAGGTTGATCCATCTGATCACCTCTTTCAACAGCCTGAAACCTTGGCTGTTACCTGACTAGTTTTCAGAAGCAGCAAGCTTTATCTTATGAAATAAAATCTCTTCTGCCTATTTTTCCAATGGGGATACTTTTTATCATGGATTAAAACCCCCAAAACGGGCCTTCGGACAATGCCGTTGCCCCCCCCCCCCACTTCACTGGAATTGTAGAAGTGATAAAGTGGAGTTTATTGTAGGGTTACCAGACGTCCCCATTTCCCGGGGACAGTCCCCGGATTTGTGAATAAGTCCCTGGACAAATTCCATCCCCGGAATGTCCCCGGGAAAAGCAGCAGTGGCAGTCTCAGCAGCCCAGAGCAGTTGGCTCTGGCTGGCTTCAGGAGCTGCTCGGAAGTCCCCATATGATGGTGGTGCAGGGGCTCTAAGATGCAGCTTCTGGGCTGCCGCCACCTTCCCTGACCCCAGCAACTAAGCTGTGAAGGAGGCTTCATGCTGCCTATCGGAGCAGCCTCCTAACTCCTACTTGCGTGCAAGCAGGAGCGGGGCAGGGATGTCTCAGCTGTGAAGGGAGGCTTCACAGGAGGGGGCAGAGATCTCTCAGTTAGGCAACGGGAAGCCTCCCTTCTCAGCTGAGGGATCCCTGCCCCCTCTGGCTTGCACGCAAGTAGGAGTTGGGATGGGGCTGCTCCGAAAGGCAGTGTGAAGCCTCACTTCCCAGCTAAGGGATCCCTGCTCCCTCCTGCTTGCACGCAAGTAGGAATGGGATTGGGGCTGCTCCGATGGGAAGGGAGGCATCGCACTGCCCGAGCCTTGCCACAGCTGCTGCTCTCGGCCCTCCTCCGCCTTCTATGCCTGACCCACCACCACCACCAAAGAACCAACAACTCAGGGGCTGCCCAGGCTCATGGAGAAAGGAGATAGACGCCTCGGAGGAAGGGGAAATGTGGCGGTTGAGGTCAAGGTGGTGGCCACCCCTCTGCCACTGCCATTGCTGCAGCATCAACATCCCAAATGTGTAGTAATTAATTAATTAAAGTGTCCCCGGATTGATTGAAAAAAACTCTGGTAACCTTAGTTTATTGACTCATATTGTTACAAGCAGGAAGGTCTACTGTACTATCAATTGCTCTCCCTAAAGAACACCGAAATTCCTTTGTTCCTGGAAGAGAGATTAAAGCTTAAAAGCCCACTTTCAAAATAGCCTTGTTTACGTTACTCAGGTGAGGCTCTCCTGGCCATAAGGTCACAAGATGCCAGACCCTGTTTACATTTTAAAATGACGGCAGGCACGGTGGGCGTCGTCAGATCACTGCATCCAAACAAACAGGATGTCCTAAACCAAACAGTGACCTGGCCAAAGGGCAGTTTTGTCCATCCCAACTGATCCTCTGGGCAAGATAGGGAGCAATTCCAACTACTGAATGACGTACATAGAATGTGAAAAATAATTGGCATTTTCAGTCCATGAGAGTGATGTGGAGCAACAGTGTGTATTTGCCTGTTGGAGACATTTTACAACCATGGTCAATTACTGAAAGTTAGGTTGAGCATAAAAGGCTGGTGAGTTTCCCCTAGTGATAAAACACCAGAAAGAAGTAATATATCATTGCACTCACTATATGCCATAAAAATAGGAGTCACTATGGCTGCAATCCTACACATACATATCGGGGCATAAGTCCTATTAACTCAGTGTGGCTTGCTTCTAAGTAGAAATGTCTAGAATTGCACTGTATAAGATAATAACAATTTAGACTTGTTTTCCCTATTTTGTTTGCTTTTTAATGTAAAAAATATTTAGGGCCTTTCTAGCTGATCAATTCAAAGCACAAGCTCAGTTGCAGATTCTTTTTGCTGTGGAGGTCTTCCTCCAGAAAGTACTCCTGCCGTGGTGAGTGGGGAGAGGAGAACATTGTCCCCCCCCCCCAGTAGTACCTCTTTTCAAGCATGCTAAACATGCAAATGGTGGAAGGCGTGACCATTGGGCAGGATGCATGGCTAGCCAACAGAGCAACATGGCCCGTCTCAGGAAAGGGGGGTGTCATTGCTCTCAGGCATAATCCCATTGTCCTTTGAATGCATATGGTGCGCCGTCTAACCCGCCCCCATGTGATGGAACTTTATAGGAACTAGCTTTTATAGTCATTTAACATATGCTTGTTCCAGAGAACACCACTGTTCCTTATTATCTTTTGTGATGGATACATACTGGTTGCTAAACTCCCAGCATCACCACCCTTTTTGTGGTAAGATGCAGCTGTACCTCTTGCCTGTAGGGAATCTATGCATTGCTTTTTTAAAAGCTTGTGGTTGGGTTTTATGTTTCCTTTCTTCTTTAGGTCAGGTCGTTTGTTTCCAGGAGAAATGTATCGCAGTCTGGATGAGTACAGTTGACCAGCTTTCCATGTGGGAAAGGTTGCCCGTTTTCTCAGGGTGTGCTTGTTTGCAGCAATCAGGCAGCTCGCACCTGGTTTTCAGCTTTTTCTGTGGTTGCTATTGCTCTGCAACTGGTTTCGTTGCTAAGGGATAAAGACCTTCCTTCAACCTTGTCCCTCAAAGCATTGCTGTGCTGGGTTGGGCACTTTCATCTCAGTGGTCCTTGACCTTATTCCACATGGCTGGGAAGAGCCCGGATGGAGCAATGGAAGGAGCGGGGCAAGCTTTCTACAAAAAATTCAGACCTCTGGCAAGAGTGACCTGTTCTGCTCCTGGAAGTGCGCTAAGGGTAGGGCAAAAACAACAACTATTATTATTATTATTATTATTATTTATTATTATTATTATTATTATTATACCCTGCCCATCTGGCCAGGTTTCCCCAGCCACTCTGGCTGGCTTAGAGCATATCTAAATAAAAAATAAAAACATCAAGTGTTAAAAACCTCCTAATACAGGGGTTCCTTCAGATG